GTGTATCTAAGAAGAAACTTTAACCATCACGGAATAGAAATGTTACATAAGGTGGCTAACGGGAATAGTGGTTCAATGGGACATCAAACCCACATTCGGGAGCAAGTTCCCTCATAACTCCCTCTGGGGTTCAGATGGAAGTGCACATTTTGTCCTCTGGGCACCACATCTGCTTAAGTCCCTCCAAAAGCCACCCCGCTTTTTTTGTAGAAAATATAGCTAATATTCTCAAGCAACCAGAAAACAACTGAGATGGTGCAGAACAGAGGATGAGAGTACAGACTCTGCAGCCAGAATCCCTACATTTCCATCCCAACTCGGCTACTTGCTAGGATTTGTCACTTGACAAATCCTCTAACTTCTCTCAATCTCAGTTTCCTCATCTGTAAAATGTACCTCATTCAGTTCTGGAGAGGATAAATTTAAATACACGTAAAGTGCTTGCAACAACGCCTGGCCCATGGTGAGCGCTGGACAACTGTGAAGCTCTTTGAGATGCTTGCCATCATGGCAGAGAGCATCCAGAAGGACACCCACCCAGCTCTTACCCACGACGTCCTCTGAAGAGTGGGATTTAGGAAGGAAGGCTGATGAGAGGATTTTAATTCCTACCTCGTGCACCTCTGTATTGTTTGAATTTATTACTTTTTATTAAAAGCAAAATAAGGAAAAAATTAAATAAAATGGCATCTGGCTAAGAGAATATAAAACAATCTCTCTCAACCTGCTACTAAAATAGCTAAGAAGACACAAAGATTTAAAAACAAAATCGTACTCCACATTTAAAACTAATGTTGCCAATCCGAGGCTTGAAACCCATACGAATTTTCGGTACCTACAACACCAAGAGAGGTTAGGTAGGAGAAAAAAATGGCATCAGTGGTCCATCTATGCTCTACTCTATAAATAGCTATTAAGGACTTTTCTTCAGCCTATTAGCAATTAAAACTCAAGGTCAGTACCAATCAGGAAATTGAGTAGCAATCCCCCCTACTTCACACCGGCTTATTTGTTTGTTTTGAGGCAAGCATTCAGTTGCAGCCATCCCTTGCCCATCAGTTTCTCTTTCTATATTCAGTAAAAACTACAACTCCCAGAAGACCCCTCAGCAGGAAGAGGGGGCTGGCGGAGGTGACGGTGTGCCTGCCACCAGAGCATGGTCTTAGCCCCACCTACCCTGCCCTAACGTCATTCTGGAAAAGCACCTAGAAGCTTGTTTGTGCAAGGGGCAAGGGCTCAAGAAACCTTGTCTTTGTGCTGGTCTTGAAGGAATCACTTAAAGATGTGCTCTAGTCAACAGGAATGAGGAAGGAAGGCTATAAAAGAGCAGGCAGATGACAGTTCTGTGGAGCCAACTCAACCCTGGAATTCCCTGCAAGAACCATGACCTCAGTAACCACACCCGAGTGGGCAGCCCTCGTGACATACCAGCTAGAACGTGCAGGGAGCAGAGTCTCCTTCCACGATGGCATCTGAAGGAGGTTCAAAAGGAAACGGTCACATTATGAATTGTTATTATTCATTATGGAAATAACTGTCACTGCACATAAGAACTCTGGCTCCCTCCTTACCAGTTCAGAAGATTTATTACATGTAATTACTATGGCATTGACTACATCTGAAACAAGGAGCTACAGCTACTGTCTTAAAAGAAATACATCTAAAATGGTGCAGTCACTCTGGAAAATAGTCTGGCAGTTACTCAAGGGTTAAACATAGAGTTATCATATGACCCAGCAATCCCATTCCCAGGTAGACTCCCAAGAGAATTGAAAACATGTCCACGCTAAAACTTATACACAAGTTATTTATGATAGCCAACAAGTGGAAACAATCCAAATGTCCATCAATTGAGAACGGATAGACAAAATGTGGAATCTCCAGACAACAGAGTATTATTCAGTCATATAAGGGAATGAAGCATTGATACATGCTACAACGTGAATGAACCCTGAAAACTTTGTGCTTAGTGAAAGAAAGCAGACACAAAAGGCCAAATATTGTATGATTCTATTTATATGAAAAGTCCAGATTAGGCATATCCAGAGAGATAGAAAGTAGATGTGGTTGCCAGAGGATAGGGGGAGAGGAGAATGGAAGTGACTGCTAATAAGTCTGGGGTTTCTTTTCCCGCAAGGAAAATGTTCTGGAATTAGGAAGTAGCGACGGTTGCGCAACCATGAGAATACACTAAAAACCACTAAATTGTATACTTTAAATAGGTGAAGTTTATAGCATGTGAATGATATCTCAGTAAAGCTGCTATAAAAAAGAAAGAAATCCTCCCCAAATGTTAATGCAACGGTTTTGGGGAAGTATGGCCAGCTGCCCACTTTTATTTCTACATTTCTGGTTTTTTTTTGAATTTTCCCTCTCTAATGGGCAGCTATTACTGCACCAACTGAAGCTCTGGAATCAGACAGATTCTGCTGGATTCAAATCCAAGCTCCTTCTGGATAAACTGGATAATCTTGGGCAAGTCACTTAATTACTCTACACCTCAGGCTCCTCATGAAAATAGGGATAATAATTGCTTACCTCATGGGGGGTTTGCGCGAGTTTAATAAGAGAACGCTGTAACACGCTTAGATCAGAGCCCGGCACATTAGTAACTGCTCAAGAACTATCAGTTGCCATTTTTGTTACTAAGAATACAGGCAGTAAAATACTACTACTATTATTATAGGTATAGAAACCACTAAATTGTATACTTTAAATAGGTGAAGTTTGCACTGCTGTAGGTGCTTTACAGGTTTAACGCATTTAGTCCTCACAACTACCTTGTGAGGTGGGTACTCTTATGCCCATTTTATGGAGCAGCATTTACCGTGGAGTGGGGGAACACTTGCCAGCAGCATGCAATCTGTACATTTTGTAGGAATTTAGGAGCAGGTAAAGAACACAGAGAGCTGAGGCAATCAGGGAGGACTTCGTGAAGGAAGTTGCCCTGTTAGGAAAGGAAGGTGGGCCCTGGATAATCCCACATGGGTGGGAAAGGGTGGTGAGGGCCTTGCAGGTGGAATGGAAGTTACCAAAAAGATGGACAATAAGAACATGTGTTCAGTGTGGGTGATGCGTAAAGATTATGTGTTATATTGCTTTCTGTACTCTTCCGCACCCTAGAAATAATTACTAATTAACAAAAATTAAAAATATTTAATCACCATGTTCTGGAGAAATAAAATTATTTTCTTAATCTTTGACCTTCTTATGCATACATACAAGAAACATTTGCCAGTTAGAAGAACGAGTAAACGCCAATTTTCTTTACTCTTTCTAAAATAAACCTGAGCGTTTTAATTCTATTTGCCTGTTTTAGTCACTACGCCTTGGAGATGTTCTTCCATATGGACCCACCTCACCCCTTGTCACGCTTGTATAATAGTCCCCAGCAGGAATGTTCCGTGATTTACTTCTCCATTCCCCTACTGATCCAATTTTCCGCTGTTACAAGCATCGTTTGTAAACATTGTACGGTTGTTCGCCATCCCTGTGCAAGCCTTTTCATGTATCAAGGGTTACTCTGAGGTTAAGATACCAGGAAGCAGAAATGCTGGGTCATAAATCCAATTTTTAAAAAGTGAATCAAACGGCGTAAATGGGAAATCTCTGTAGCTCCCTCTCCACTTCGTTGTAAACGTAAAACTGCTCTAAAAAAAGTCTTTTTTTAAGAATAGTAAATCGGAGACTGGGCACGCTCGCGCTCCCACTCTTGCTCGCGTACCCGGAATCCAGGCGTTTTCTCACGTGGTCGGGGGCCGGGAGCGCGGGCTCTGAGCCGTGGGCGCCCGCGGGCCCAGGCGGGCCGGTGCAGCCTGCCCGACCCCGGGTAGGTGCGAGGCCACGGCGACGTACTACCCTCCCGGTACGCTCTCGGGCCCGTTTCATTGAGAACCCCTGAGCGATCACGTGAAAGAGGCATGCGAGCCGCGTGACGTCACG